CCCCAAAACCCCAAAACCCCAAAACCCCAAAACCCCTTAATTAATAATTTTTATTGAATCTCAATAATGACAACTAGAACGGTGTCTGAATCCATGGAACTTGGGAATGAGAAGTCCTTCCATTCTCATTTTCTTTTCCAGATTTTGGGAACGAATAGTATAATATTGGAGACTGAGAATCTAGGTTGATTTCATCACCAAAGTTAAGCTTTACATTATGGGAACTTTGGCTAGGAGAAAGAGTATCTCCTCTGTACCTCTTTCTATCCACATTGTTTACATCAATTTCAAGTAAAGTGCTTGGAGTATAAGGACCTCTCATATTTTTCCTTTTCACCGAGCTATATCTATAATTCTTGGTGTTATCTTCATAATCCAAATGAGGTCAGTTATCTACCGGCAAAGATTCATAAGGATTTATATAACTCGCCCTAACTCTTTGGTCTGAACCAGCTACTTCTTCTCTTTGAGAGCTTCTCATATCAAAATTCTTCTTGTTCAGGTCTTTCTCTTTAGCTAGTACATCTTGTAGAGTTGAGTTTTCTAATGATAGAAGCTTATAGTCACTTTTAAGCTTGCCCAGAGCAGCCCTAAGTTCCTGAACTGACATTGTGAACTCATTATAATCATTCTTATATTCTTCATATTCTGTTTGGAGAGTTGTCTTATCGATTTTGAGACCGGCGATTTCTTCCTCTTTCAATTCTTTATAATTATCAAATTCTGTCCTTAATAGCATATTTTGGGCTTGAGATTGCTCTAATTTTAACTTAAGGTCTGATATCACCTGAATATTTTCTTGTTGTTCTTGATTACGCTGGGATTCCAACTCGGTAAGGTCGTTTCTCATCGTCTTTACTTTAGAAACTTCCTTCTGTAAGTCCTTTACTTGGTTGCTCAGATAAGAAATAGTTTGTTCATATGATTCTATAACAGAGTCCTTCTCTTCAATATTAGAGACATTCAGGGATCTGTTCATCTAAAAATTACTATAATGCCATACCATTTGGGTAGTATTTTCATTCTGGGTTTCTAGAAATAAATCTGAATGATTACCATCAAGTAAACTCTGGGTTCTCTGTTTATTGAAAATACTAAATTCAGTTTGAATCATCCCCTCGATGTCAGTCTGGATCGCCATATTTGATTTCTCAGAGATCATTGTGTTCTTGACAAGGACCTCATTCATGTTCTTAAAGCTAGTGATTTCGGATTCTTGTTGTTAAGATGTTAGCTTACCTTCAGTTTTGGATCCTTTCTCTGTCTGAATCTGACAATCATTTACAGTTACCATCCTTTGGTGCTCAGGATAGCCTGGTAGATTTACCTCACGAGCAAAAGGGAGTTGTTGGTAATCAATAGGGTCAGGAGTTTCCCTAGCTTTACTTAAAAGTTGTATATTTTGAGTCTGAAGTTTCTCAATTTCAAGTTCAAGCTTTGTAGAAGATTTCCTACATCTGAAGGGCTCTAGTGTATCTTCTACATAATTACTTTGAATTTGGATGCCAGAGTCTTCTTTTATCAATTTACCATCAGTCTTAATAAATTCAGTATTCGAAATATCTAAAATGTGAGGATAAACAATACTCGAAGCTTTATTTCTAGTATTTTTCCTTTTAATAATCGGCTTGCCGATAGCAATGTAGAAAGATCCTCCTCATGAAATTTTTGTGACATTCTTCCTCTGAAGAGCCATTACAGGGAATGGGGTTGACTTTGGTTGAAAATCTCCTACTCCAAGTTCACCGTTTGTGTTCTCTCCCCAGGTCCATATGAGTCCACTTGAGTCAATACAAGCTGATACTGAAGTTCCAAGAGATACATCCAGGACTGATTTCGGAATTCATTCGATTCTCTCTGGTTTCTTGAAGTTTCCTAAAAAGGATTCTCCCCATATATAAAGAACTTTCTCGTCAGTAATAGCAGCACAGTATTGGTTTCAGTCGATTTTTATGATAAATTCAGTCTCAAGATCCTTCACTTTAACAGGTCGCATCATATCCGGATTCGTAAGATCGATAGAGTATACAAATCCACTTTTTGTAAGAAGTAATACCTCTTTCTCTCCTCATGAGACATCCACACATTTTTCAGGTACATGTATAAGTGAAAAAGTCTGGTCAGATTGCTGCTGTAGAAACCCTGTCAAGAACACATCTCCTTTAGTAGATAAAATACAAGTGTGATACCATCCACATGAGACTTTTTGTGCCTTTATCTTATACTGCGAGATATAATCTACAAGTTGAGGATGAGGTGCATCCTGTCCATAGTCGTTTCCAAGAGCTCCATATTTATTCTGACCCCAGAGGAACACCTTTCCTGCTTTGGTGACTCAGCCTGTGTGATTTGCACCGCAAGAGACTTGTTTGATCTCATAATCACTAAGAGACTCTACTAGAGAAGGAAGGGCAATTTCTGATGGATCTGTGTATCCTAAGCCTAACTTTCCATATGAATTATCTCCTCTCATGTATAAATGACCTCAATCAGTTATAAAAGCAATATGGGACTCGCCACATGAAACATTATCTATCTGAAGGCTGTACTTGAGAATCCTATCTTTGCATATTAGCCGATACAATATTCTTTACAAAATAGCAAAGTGTTCTTAAAATACTATTATTTCCCTTCTAAGAGGTTTTATTTATATCTTCACTAAGAAAGTATGATGATTCAGTAGCTTGTAGAAGACACCGGAAGCAAAGAAGTTGATATTATAACTAAATCTATATACTATTGCGATAAATTTCCTCTGTCTTTAAGCATAGGGCTCTGGCTAATTCTAAAGTCATTTCCCATCCAGCAAAGCTTTGTACTTACCTTGGCACAAAGCCAGCCTCTAGCTTGCTAGAGGCTGGCGTGCTCTGGTAAACTTCAGTCTGCTCTGAAGGGGGCTGCTGGCTATTATGCGGATTAATGTTCTCTTTGCCTCTTGGACAATGCTCTATAGGATTAGTAAGAGAAAATACTAGTTCTGCGTTTTTTAGATTTAAGCTTCTTTAATCTTTTTGATTGAGGATTGTTGGTTTTTATGTTGATGATGTCTGGGTTCTGAGAGGGCCTGTAGAGGTAAGAAAAGGGAATACTCAAAATTGTGGGAATATGACATTTTAAATTTAAATTTTATACTTCAAAAGATCGAGAAGTAACAGGGGTTTTGGGGTTTTGGGGTTTTGGGGTTTTGGGG